TGATTTTCAAGAATTACTTTTCATTATTGTATATTGGAAAATGTCTATCTAACCTAACCTAACCTAACTTTTCTAACTCGATATCGATAATCCTTATAAAGCTCTTGACTTTCACAGGAATCACTTTTCATTATTGGACATTGAAGAGTGTCTATTTGTCTTTTCAATGTTGTCACTGATATCCTCAATATCAAAAATCCTCGATTCTACAACTTGCAGGAATTACTTTTCATTGTTGGATACTGGAGAATATCTAACTAACCTAACTTTCTTAACTGGACATCAATATGTCTGCTAAAACTCTCGACAATTGATTTTCAAGAATTACTTTTCATGATTGAATATTGGAAAATATCTACCTAACTTAACCTAACCCTTGTAACCTAACTTTTCGAACTTGATATGCTTAAAACTCTGAAATAAACAATCAACTTTCAGAAATTTTTCATTATTAACATTGAGGACTCTATTTAACTTAATCTTAACTAATTTAACTAATTCAATATCGATATTGATTTTCAAGAATTATGGACAATTGCATAAAGACAATCACGTCTATCCAAGAATAAAATTTTGCTTTTTTCTCTTTTTTTTTTTTTTGCTAGAATCCATCAGCAAAAAAATATCAAGAACAATTGTTGAGCACCAGTTTCAGTTTCTCGAGTAAAATCGCTCCAATGATTTTCGTACCGTTTCATTGTATTTCATTTCACGCCAAGATAGAATTTCTAATACCTTTTCCCTTTTAGTGGCCAATATCGTTCTTGATCACCGAGAAACCGACACGATATACGGCCAATAAAGTTTTCCTTCTTTTTTTTTTTTCTAAAACCAAAGGCCGGAGATTAAACATTAAAGAAATTACGGCTCGTTTAAGGGTCACGCGAACCGCCTTTCGAAATACTGGAATTTTATTTCTCGAAGAGAGAAACCATTCCATCTTATTCTGAATTACAAGTTCCGGTTCTAATTACGTTCTGGCCTCGTATTATTCTTCTCCCTTGCCCCTATATTTTTGCCCTCGGATTTTATGAACGGCATTCGACGAATTTGTTACGTGATTTTCTCTCTCTCTCTCTTCTTTTTATAGGCGTTGCATCTTCGTTTAAACGAAGATAAAGAATTTTAAGGAGTAATGCGGTTCGCTCGAAAAGTTTAAGGATTATAATGAAACACTCTTCTCTCTGAAATGAAGAAGGATAAAAAAACTTTTTTAATAAAAAGTTGGCGAGGAATAGTAAACGATCACTGTCTCATTAATTATAATCAACCGTTAATTATCATGTCTTAAGCTATCTGAATCAAGGTGTCTGAGAAGCCTATCTAAAATCTATCTAAGATTTAAAAATCTTGGAATTCAATGATTTCATTCGTTTATTCCACGAAGAATAATAGCACGAAGAGCGTAATATATTCTTGGCCAAGTTGAATTTCTTGCGATCTCTCGATAATTAAACAACCTTTGCAAACAATTTTATATAAGAAGACTTCAGACATCGACTTCATCCAAGCATCTTTAATCGAATCTTTACCGCACTATTGTAAACTCATTTTTTTCTTTTTTTCGTTCCATCGAATAACTGACGAGCGGCTGTTTCACAGTTAACAAAATTAAATGCCCGTTCGAAAAGAGAGTTGAGAAATAAACATCGAGGAGATGTTCGAAAACACCGCGAATCGAAAATTCTATTTTCTCAAATGTTCGTACTCCAATTTTCGTCCCCCCTCGAAAAACCACTTTCCAAACGATTTCGCGCAAACCATATTAAAAATCGTTTTTCGAGAACGATTTCCTGTAAACACTGGAAAAAACCGCAGACACCGCACGAGTGGTCATTTCGACGACGAAAAACGTGTGGAGAAAAATTTTTCCAAATCGAAATTCCTCGGCTAATTGCGTTTGTGTCGGTCGAAGGGAGAGAAATTCGGTGTATTGTTTTAAACGAGAATGAGCCAAGTTCGACGGATGGCGAGGAAACCCGTTTTCATTTCGATCGAATTGGATCTCCTCTTCTGTCGCCAATTTTTCGCCAAATGATTCTCCACGCCATCCGATCATTTCCTCTTTGCTTGTTTTCGAAAAAGCAGGGGGCGATTCTTCGCCGACTCTTTCGATTCCATTTCTCGAATCTCGAAATTAGCAAATTTTTTCGAAGCGAAAATTTACTGGAGGATGATTCTGCTCTTTGAAAGTTATGAGTCGAGAGATTAGGAAAAGGGGAATAGTTATCATTATGTCTGGAAAATATTCGTTTTGGAAGATTGTTGTTAGATTGTGCCGATTTAAAAATGGAACGAAATGGCAAAGATGGCGAAGAAAATCAATGTCCAGCCAAGGGGGAAAAGGAAGAAACTTGAGCTAATCTAAACTTAATCTGTTGATCCAAGAATGGAACGAAATACGATAAGGAGGAAGAGGAGTAGGGAGGGATCAAGAAAAAAGAACGGGGAAAAAATTGAAGGGACAGTAAACCTCAACCTGATCTAGATTAATTTGTTGATAGAACAAGATAGAGAGAGGGGGGAGGAGCATAGAAGAAGAGGAAAAATATTGGAACGATATTTCATGTCCAAGTGAAAGCAATGATCTAAATTGATCTGTTGATCTAAAAATAGAGATACGATAAGGACGAAAAAGTACACGGAAGATAGATGTAGAAGAAAAAAATCTTAACGATAATTAATGTCCAACATGAAAACAGTAAACTCGATTTAATCTAAACTTAATCTGTTGATCCAAAAATAGAAATAAAGGGAAAGAAGAGCATAGAAAGTGAAGAAAAAGGATAATAAATATCCAAGTGAGAAGTTAACTCAATCTAGACGTAATCTGTTGATCCAAAAATAGAAATAAAGGGAAAGAAGAGGATAGAAGTGAAGAAAACGAAAAAAGTTATCCTAAGGATAATAAATATCCAAATAAAAAGTAAACAGTAAACTTAATTTGTTGACCAAGAAATAAAAATAAAGGGAAAGAAGAGCATAGAAAGTGAAGAAAATGATAAAAGTTATCCTAAGGATAATAAATATCCAAATAAAAAGTAAACTTAATTTGTTGACCAAAAATAAAAATAAAGGGAAAGAAGAGCATAGAAAGTGAAGAAAAAGGATAATAAATATCCAAGTGAGAAGTTAACTCAATCTAAACGTAATCTGTTGATCCAAAAATAGAAATAAAAGGAAAGAAGAGGATAGAAAGTGAAGAAAATGATAAAAGTTATCCTAAGGATAATAAATATACAAGTAAAAAGTAAACAGTAAACTTAATTTGTTGACCAAAAATAGAAATAAAGGGAAGGAAGAACAAAAAGTTGAAAAAAACGAAAAAGATTATCCTAACAATAATTAAAATTCCAAGTGAAAAGTAAACTCGACCTAGTCTAAACTTAATCTGCTGATCCAAAAATAGAAATAAAGAGAAAAAAGAGCACAAAAGTTGAAAAAGATTATCCTACGACGATAATAAATATCCAAGTGAAAAAAGTAAACTCGACCTAATCTAAACTTAATCTGTTGATCCAAAAATAGAAATAAAGGGGAAAAGAAAGAGCATAGAAGAAAACGAAAAAGATTATCCTAAAGATATTATCCTAAATGTCCAAGTGAGAAGTAAACTTGGCCTAATCCAAACTCAATCTGTCGATACAAAAATAGAAACAAAAAAGGAATAGAAAAAAGAAGATGAAGAAAACGAAAAAGATCATAATTAATATCCAGAGGGAATCAAGGCCTCAAAGTGACCTCAAATTGATTCAAATTAAATGAAAACATCGGAATGCAAACATTTCAAAAACGAGAAAAGACCATCCCAGAATAGGAGTATGCCTTTCTTCCAAGTGAAATGCTTCGTTGGAACATCGATGAAAGGTGAGAACTTGTACACTTGAATATATACGTGGGAGGAAAGAGAGTCTCGAGATAGAAATATAAAAAAATAAAAATAAAAAAGGGAAAAATCTTTCCGTGTTATAAACCTTCAGATTTTTACTGAGAACGGTGTCTGGAGAGTAGATGGACCCTTCGCTGGTGATCCATTATCACGAGAATAATTCAGAGCGAAAGCTTCGAATTGTGATGATCAACGAACAGGAACACCCTTCGTGACATTTTTAATAACGAGAGATGTTTAGATCCGATTATCCTCGTTCGTTCGTAATTTTTCTTCCTTTCGAAATTTATTTCCAGAGGAGAAAATTATTCGCTAATAAATAAATATATAATAAATAATATTTTCCATCAAAGTGTTTATCGAAATTACAATTAATCATCTAATTTATCATTGATTAATTCTATATCGATCATCTATTTATGATTGTATTAGAATTTTTGTTAATTAAATTAATCGCTAAATTATTTTGTATTTCCAAGTAATTATAATTTTCTAAAACGTGACGTAAAATGTTCAGAAAATTTTTAAACGATAATTCTTAAACGAGTATGATTGACAATATTTTTTTCTCTTCTTCTTTTTTTTTTTTTTTTAGAATTAATACGTTTTTCACTTATAAACTCGGTGTATCCGAAAAAAAGCTAAAAGTAATTGTAAAGACGGGGAAAAAGTTTATTCGCGTTGTAAGAAGTTGAGGGACATAATTATTCGAAGAAAAGGAGACAGAGATAGTCAAGATTCATGCAAACGCGTTGGATGTAACGAAGTTTTTTAATCTTATAATAAAATTATTAAGCGAAGCAATGGAATATATATAGTTGGTAAAATTTGTTAACAACGTTCTCGATGAGAAGTAAAAAAGAAACTTCTTTTCATTCTCTTCGAAGAAGTTGCTGGTAATTATAACAATTTTATTAACACGAAAATATAAATTTCACACCGTTTCTCAAATTCATTGCGATAAATTTATGATAATAAAATTATGTGATCCCTTCAATTCTTTTTTTAAACTTTTCAAAACGTATAATTTATTATTTTTAATCTCGTTGCAATCTTTTTCTTTTTTTTTT